TGGCTTTAATTCATTTGTTTTTTAATAATCAGTATACGGTTAGAAAGTGCAAATTTTGTTGCATCTTGTGATATATAGATCATAAATATAAAATGAAATCAAGTAGGCAAAACGTATCTTACAAAAAAATATACTATTTTTTACTGTGTACAAATTTGAGATAAGAGCAAAACTAATTTTATTTTTACTTTATCTGTTTTTACATTTTGATACATCGACGCTCAGTTATCGGTTTAATATTTATAAACTTATTCTCATAAACACGTCTATCTAAATAAATGATTATTATTTTCTTATATTATTTATCAAAATTCTGATAAGAACTTCAACATGAAGCTGGATCATATTTTCTCATGTTCTGAATTGTGGTTCAAAAAAACATTGAGCTTTCTTTTTGTTTCATATGTCTTTTCTTTTCTATCCTCTCTTCTTTTGTCGACATGTATGTACTGAATCAAACTTGAACATATATATGTATATATGCCGATTTCCATCAAAAAATGGAAAAGTTTACATGTTCACGTGCCACATTATTTTTTATGTTCAATGTTTACATTCATTAACATGAAACAATATAACAAATATACCAGCATTTTCAAACACAACGTCTTAGAAGAATATCGTCGTGGAGTTTACGGGTTTGGATTCAAATCTTTAGCCAGAAGATTCAAGATAAAAGGTGGTCATAAAGTGATTATGAATTGGTATCGGCAATGGGATGGTACTGTACAATCATTAAATACAAGATCAAAAGGTGGTCGACCACGTACAATGACAAAGAATGAAGTTAAACAGTATATATTAGGATTTGTAACTAAGATGAATAAACAATTTAAACCAGTGAATTATCGAATAGTACAAGCAAATGTTGAATCATTAGTAAACAAGAAGGTGCCATTAAGTACCATTCAAAGATATGGTAAAGAAGAATGTGGTCTTAGATGGAGAAAAACACATGAATTAACATCACGTGATGGTAAGTGTTTAACCTAATAACAAGGTGTGACTCTTCTGTCACCATATTTAATAATAAGAAAGTGGGACTGTTCTATTACCACATTTTAAAGTTTGTTGAGTAGTTCTTTTACTTTTAGTTGATAATCAACATTGGAATAATATAGCAAAATTCCGAAGATTTTTGCAAAGAATTGGTAATGATAGATTAGTATTTATCGATGAAATCGCAATTTATGCAATAATGCTACCTTGTCATACACTTGTTGCTCCTGGACAAGAACCATTAGTTATTGTTGAAAAACCATCAGCTTATGCTGAACGTTATGATTTTATTGGAGCAATTAATGGATCTCAAGCTATATCTTGTATGATTTTAACACCTACTGATCGAAAAGCGAGAAATATTGATGGTGTTCGAAAAGAGATTGTCAATGAATGGATTATCAATGAATTAGCTCCTGCAATAAATCGATTATCTGTTAATAATATTTATCTTATATGTGATAAAAGCCGTGCTCATAATAGACAATGTATGATTGAAGCATTGAAAGCTGGTAAATGTAAATCGGTCTTGGACGTTTGTTATATGCCAACAGCATCCGCAAAATACATATCACCATTAGATAATCCAATTTGGCATAAATATAGAGAAGTCATTAGAAGTCAATATCCGATTACAACAACAAATCTTCCATCAATACTTTCACAAACGTTTTTCTCTTTAACAAAAGAAGAGATCGGAAATGCATATCGTAAATGTGCTATTACACGTGGAGCTAATGTTTTTTATGATCAACCATCTATGTAAACAAATATTTTCTTTTCTTAATTCAGATGAAAAATAAACTGTACACGATAAAAAACAGTATATTTTTTTGTAAGATACGTTTTGCCTACTTGATTTCATTTTATATTTATGATCTATATATCACAAGATGCAACAAAATTTGCGCTTTCTAACCGTATACTGATTATTAAAAAACAAATGAATTAAAGCCA